GGGGAAGAAATGTCACTTCACTGAAATTGCTTTAGTGCAGAAAGTGTTGTTAGAAGGGTGTCATGCTCAAGTATTCTCATATATGAACCTGTCAAATGTTGAGAGGCTTTACGTGAAAATACTCACTGGGACTAGTTACAAATTTTACATTGAAAATGGTAAATGACATGGGATTATTGTAGGGGAGTGGTTTCTTCTCTTGGCCTTTTTTTTTTTTTTTTTTGGCTTTGAAGGTTAGCCAGAAGAATTAAAACCTCTTACCTAATTCCCCCTGCCTTGCTTGCTTGATATTCCCCCACCCCCCCACCCCCTTTGCCAGCCCCTTTGCTGGGCTGAGCTTCCAATATCTTATATCCCATGAAACTTCCCTTGAGTTACAGGCCTGTTTAGGCAGTGTGGTACTACCATCACACTGATATTTCAGGTCAGAGCTAAAATACTGCAGTGCTGAAACAAAGACTTAGCTGAAAAATGCTCTTCTAAAGGTAGAAGAGGAAAACCGATTTCTGATCATCCTCAATTTACACCTCCGGTTTTGTATCTAGATTTCTACAATATGCTGTCACTTGCCTTATGCAGCAATTTTTATTCCCAGTGGTATTTTAGGGAAGCTGGGACACTTGTTCCCAAGTAGTCAAATACTAACCTATGGTGGCAATGGCAACAGGCTTATGTCAGTTAATAGAATACTGTAGTTGAGAGTTGAGGAATGCCTTCCTATATTTGGCATTTGTGGCTAGATTAACCTTTGTAAGAATGTTTCCTTCCAGAGTGAAAGCTACTAAGTGGTTGTTTTTGCATCCCTGCCCTTTGTTCTTTGAAGTAGTTCTTCCTTGCTACTTCACCCCTACTGATGTTCTGCAGTCCCTGTTTGTAATCAGCATGGCATAGCCCTCTATTTTGTTGCGTTTTCAAATCCTCTTTTAGTCGGTGAAGCAAGCGATGCAATGATGCAGATTACATAGATCAGGATGGCTGCTTAGTTAAAGCAGTGCAGGTCTGGCCAGCCTTACACTGAGCGCTTTGCCACAGAGATAATTTCCATAAAGTGATCAGTTATTGTCCCTGCTGTAGCAGAGACAGAGTAAATGTCTTGCCTTGCTCTGAGCCTGTTGTGGGTGTAGGGAAAATGTGTTACTTTAAGCTTCCATAAAGGTATTGGTGAAACTGTTACAGTTTATTTCCCTTTTGTCCCTGAACAACGCTAAATATTCTGGGGTGTTCCTTTCCTTTTCCCCCACTGTCTTGTATCCCCGTTGCTAATAGGAATGTACACAGGGGTTTTTTTTAAAGGTATTCTGATTAAGCCATGTTCTTTCCCTGATTTCTTTTTCAGGGTCTTGAAAAATTTTGGTGGAAGTGCAGAACTTGCATAGTGATTATTTTTTTTTTAATGCTTTCCTTTTTTTCAGTTACCTTTTGCACAGCATTTAGTTGATGCACAAGTTGAAAAGCACTGTGTTTGAAACCCATGTCCTCACCTCCAAAACAGCTGTATCAACAAAAATTTGCGCTGTACATACGACCATGTAGTTGATTTAAGTAAGCATGTGAACGTATAAATGGAGTTCATAATTTCTAGTTAGCCAAAAGGCACCGATTCATGTCTAAAATATTTATTGATAATGCTAAATTGTGCATTGCCTATGTAGGCACAGATGTTAGTTTCATTTTGTCATGTATAAACATTTAAGTATTGGTGTTGTGTACCTGAAATATTGTGCAAAGCTGTATCAGAAATTCTTGTTGTGCTAATAGCAGTGAAACTGCTACAATGCAGGATGGTCAGCCCAGTGAATATCTGGGATGCTGGTGGGTTTAGGTAGTCTGTTGCTGAAGACTGTGGTGGTGTGCCTAGCTTATGTTTCATTTGCATTAACCAAGCTTGTTTTGGTCTGCATATATGCATTCATGCTGTAGTTGTACGGTGAATTTAGTGCAGGTGCAATGTAGTACAGGGGGTTCTGCTTTCTGCTAGTATTTGGTGGTTTTCTACTTCTTCCCAGTCAATGCTGGTAACTTGCAGATTCAGTCTGTTATAAGCCTAATGTAAGGCTATAACTGAGTCTTTAGTCCAAAATTAGAAAAATTATTATAAGTAACGATACAAGAAGCATTTGTTTATAGTCTTTTTATGACTGTATATAGTGAAATACATACCTTTCTCTATCTCTTATTAAAAGATGTATAAGAATAGAAAGACAGATTGAGACTTAAGTAACAAGTAAAACCATGTTTTTAGGACTGTTCTACAGAAAATGCAAGTTGGTTTCTAAGACAGAAGTTACCCACGACACCAAGCTCTTCTGCTTAATGTTGCCTAAGAGCACGCATCTCCATGTTCGCACTGGACAACATGTTTACCTCAAACAAATCATTGCAGGTAAGAAAAATTGAGAATGTAGCCATGGGTATATTAACATAAATCCCTTTTCATGGTCTTGGGAGAATGCCAAGTCCATGGACACTAGTTCCCTGGTTGTAGTTAGAAGGTCTCTGCTTCCAGAATCACAATCAGTGCTTAATAATGAACTGACTGGATTAATATTGCTGGAAAGCTAACTATCGAGGTGTCTGGCTGTCGTGGTTTAGCCCCAGCCAGCAACTAAGCACCACACAGCTGCTCACTCACTCCCCCTACCCCGATGGGATGGGGGAGAGAAGCAGAGGAGTAAGAGTGAGAAACACTCCTGGGTTGAGATAAGAACAGTTTAATAATTGAAATAAAGTAAAAGAGTAATGATGATAACAACAATATAATAATGATAATAATATACAAAGCATATACCAATATACAATGCAATTGCTCACCACCTGCTGACCGATACCCAGACAGTTCCCGAGAAGCGATCACTGCCCCCCGGCCAACCCCCCCCAGTTTATATATCGAACATGACGTCATATGGTATGGAATAGCCCTTTGGTCAGTTTGGATCAACTATTCTGGCTGTGCCCCCTCCCAGTTTCTTGTGCACCTGGCAGAGCATGGGAAGCTGAAAAGTCCTTGACTAGCATAAGCAGTACTCAGCAACAACTAAAAACATCAGCATGTTATCAACATTCTTCTCCTACTAAATCCAAAACACAGCACTATGCCAGCTACTAGGAAGAAAATTAACCCTATCCCAGCCGAAACCAGGACACTTGCATTTACTGTTGACCTCATCATCTCTTCTTCCAACTCTCCCTTTAAAACATTCTTTCTACTGAAGTAGTGCTGTTCAGCTTTGAAGGGGGTCAAGCTCATTGTATAGGTTATGTATTAGTAGTCAGTTCCTTTTAGTTTGCAGATTTTTTGGCATGCGGAGGGTAATGTTACAATTTTGCTTTGGGTTCCACACGCGCACACACACGCACACCTCCCCCCCCCATCTGAAGGATTTATAGCAGTCATGGTAACACTACTTTACACTCCAGTTGCATGATATTAATGGTAACATGAGGTTGTGAGAGGAATGCATCTTGAAAAGCATTGTTCAAGCACTATTCTTCAAAATTTCATAAAAGGCAAAGTTTAAAAATAAAATGGGAGGTCAAAGAAATATGTTTTATTTTTTTAAGGGTACTTTTTAAAATTTGCATATTAATGGTTATGCTGGTCATTGTACTTGCGTTGCACAATGCATGCTAGAGAGATTTCTCAGAAGAATTTTTAAATGCCCTTTCATAGCGAACTGTTTTGTTCTCCTCCTCCACCATATCTAATTCTTTGCTGGTGTCCAACTCTTGCAATCTTTCTTTCTGTCATTATACAATAGCTTTTTGAAATGATAGTGGAAGAAAATATAATTATGCAGTACTAAAAACCTGCTATTTCAATTCAGAAAAAATCAAGCTGTGGTACTTGAAATTAAATGCAAATGTTTAGATTTTCATGTTCTTTCAGGATGACTCTAGATCTTTTCTTCCAGTGCTTTGAATTGCTAAGTAGTATAGAAATAGCGTACTGTACAGTGGCCTGAAGATTTTAATTGGAAATGGAAGGCTACTGTAATAAGAACCAGTGCAGTGGAAAGTAACATACTTGCGTAAATGTTATTTTTATGGGATATGCAGATTATTTGTGTACTGTTTGTTTATTTTGGTATTTGCAGTAAATCTGCTGGATGTAGAGTACTTTTCATATTATTTCAGCTACCTTTTTGTCTTCTGTCTAGGGACAGAGGTAGTGAAACCATACACACCTGTACTGCCTTTTTTGCCACTGGATTTTAAAGAACCATCTCACCGTGATGGTGCACATATATATTTAATGATTAAAATTTATTCCTGTGGACTGTTCACACAGGCACTTGACCACCTACAAATTGGTAAGTATATGTTGGGTTTTTTTGTGTTTGGTAAAGCAGCGATTACTTTATCTTTTCAGATTCACTGTCTGGGTATTGTGGTGTTCTTATTGTTTACCTACTTATACATCAGGACATACTTGTAACTTTTTTTTTTAAACCTTATTGTCCATGCCCTAAATGTACAGGCTTATCCTCACTGTAACTAGGAGTTGTCCATTACATAAAGCTCTCCTGACTGATCTTCCAAATGTGTTCCTTTTGACTGTTCAGATGTGTCAACTGTATCACACATTATAGTTGATCACTTTGTATATACTCTTAGAACAACTTTTTGTGCTTTCAAATAAAGCTAGGTTTGTTTTATTAGACTTAAGATGCACTTCCTTTTCCATTTCAGATACAGAGATGGATTTTTTAATGCTGACTTTGCAAATGTTTGTGTACTTGTGTAGTGTAAAATCCATCAAGACGACATTTTAATTGAACATCTGTTCTTTTAACAAGAATGGTCCTTGTGTGAAATGTATAGTACCTTTCTGAAAAGAACCCTAATACGACAAAGATGAAGGCAATATGAAAGGGCCTTTAAAGAAAAATCAGAATACTAATTAGCTTGTTTTCATCTCATTAACGTTTACTTTTTTTTTTTTTTTTTTTTTTTTATATTTCTGTCAGCAGTCCTGAAGGTAACTTCAAGAAGTCACAGGTTCAAACTTCAGAAGATCTCTTTTTATTGGCAGCAGGCACAGGCTTCACACCAATGGTTAAACTGCTGGATTTTGCTCTGACTGAAATTAGTTGCCTCCGGTATGTACACTTCTTATGATTTAACCCCAAGCTAAAGTAATCCATAGGAAGGTTGAAATGTAATGGGCAAGCCTCAGTGTTAATAAAACAATTAACAAAATAAAATGGTATGAAACCATTTTTCTTCAACTTATGCCAAAAGCTGGCATGCTTTAGGGAAGAGTCTGTCACAGTCTTAAGGAACTTGGGTGTATTTGGTTATTGGCTATGATCAACAAAATGGACTGATTTGCATTTTGGATTTTAGCTGCGATACAAATGAGCTCACCAAGTAGAAAATCTCAAGGATTGGGGGGGGATTTTTTTTTTTTTTTTTTAAACTAGCTTTACAGTTGTGTGCCTTTTTTTAGTATTGAAATACTTCAGTGTAGATACTGTTTTTTGGACTGAGGAGGTTTTCAACTGTTTAGTTACGGCTTCTCTTTAATCTATTAGAATAGCTAACGTATTTTTGTATTGTTTTCACCTACTAAGCAATAGTAACACATTTTTACCAGATGAGTTCCAGCTTTCACAAAAGTGCAACTTATGTAAGCATAGTGTTAAGTATATTCAAATGCATAGAAAGGTGTGTATTGCATATACATTCTGTCCTCCACTTGTAAAATCTACAGAAGGAAGCATTACTTGTTCTTGGTCAAGTGAATGGGTTGTTTAGGCCCCTTATGTCCTTCAGAACCCTGGAACTAGTACTTCTGCTTGATGTGATTGTCCATTTACAACCTTAAGAGTATACAATAGCTCAACTTTAAAACGAAATGCAAAGAGTTACTGTAGAGGCATACTTTGATAGAGATGAGGTGTGCTTGCATTGCTTTTAGCAAAAATCTTCCTCTAGAATCACATCTTGCAGAATTTCTTAGCAGATTACGTTTTTGTCAATGAGCTATTGTAACTTGGGAGGGTATAAAAATGAAAAATATACCTGAACTGTATTTTCTTTAAAGCTGTTGCAGAGGATAGTTCAACAGACTTGCTACTGTTTTCCGGTACCTTTGAATTTGGACTCTTGTAATGGAGATAAATTTCTAATACTGAGTTTTATTCAATAAAAGCACAGGATGTTTTGGTTCATTAGGTCTTTAGAAGCACATTTTGAAACAACATAGATTAATTGGACACTAGTCTTCATAGTAAAGCTAAAAAGGATGACATGTACTGCAGAAATCTGTTTTTAGAAAAAAAAATCTAAACCCGGACATTATTCTTGTATTGTTTATTGTTCAGCAATTGCATATAATCCTATTTTGTGAGCAGAGAGGCTGTGTACTGTTTGGCTCTTCCAAAGTGTTCTTTATTGTCAATAATGAATAACAAGTGGCTGGCTGGCTTTGTGAATCCAAAAGATAAATCTATCATCTGACAAAATGCTTGGGAAGCACTACTAAGTGAATTTGGAATAAATTTATTTTTTTTCTTCTTGAGGGGAAAACTAATACGTCAGGTAAAGGTGGTTGTGATAATATGAAAGCACAACTAAGGAGAGCATAGTAGAAGATGCAAATCTTGACATTTTGTCCATAACCAGAATAAACAGCATAGATAACGTGTGAAAGAATACCACTGCACAGATAGTGTTTGTATCTACTCTGTCCTTGAAAGATGACCAGAGTGGCTTGTTTTAACTCTCTTCAGCACAGTTTCTTACGGGAACTCAATGCTCACAGTTAGCTTAGGATGCAGCAACATCTGTTTTCTAGTTTTTTTACTAGTTGAAGTAAATGAATTTTTCTTTCTTGCCGTGGAGGCTTGTTAGGTGCTGGAATGACTTGATCTGGTACAGATTCTGTTTATATGCAGACACTTAAAGCTTCATTTTTCTGATTGCTCTAGGCAACTTAGTTTCTTGGCCTTATATTTGCTCTTCAACCCTCACTTTCTCTCTTCGGAAAATATTACAAGAGTGTCTTTAATATATGTGTGTTTGTATATATGTGTTTATAGATACTATTTAGATATGTGAGATTATATCTATATATAAACAATATAAATATAATTTGCATAAAATTATATTACTGTGAAAAGTAACAATTGCTGTAAGCTTGGGTTGCACATGCTAGAACACAAATTGCAGAAAGTTGAGGAAGGATCTGAATAATGACTGACTTGTCACCTGAGGGTGCAAGGCCACCTCTGTAGTGCTGGGCAAGTGCTTCTGAACCTCTGGGGCTGCACTGCAAATGTTGGAGAATCCACAGCTTCCCTAGGCAGTGTTTGCTGTGATGTAATGGTCTTGGATCAGTGGATTTCCATTCTTACTTTCTAGCCAGTGTCCCTGTTAAGTATGTTATTTCTTGCCTACAGTAAATGTGGAAAATTATTTATTCTCTTCCTGTCTGCAGTATCCTTTTGTGCATGAAGTCATAATGCTCTTCCTTCAGTCTTTTTTTTTCCTTCTCTTACAGGCCAAATACAATTTGGCCAAAGTATTAATTTAAAAAGAATATTGGTCCTCTATGCTGTTTCTTCCTTTTTAAGATGAGATTTTTGCTCCTTTTTACTGGTGGTGTATAACTGCAATCAGATGGATAGGTTTCTTAAAGAAGACTGAGGCCCAAAGGCACTAAACACTAGGTAGAGGGCTAATGCTCTTCTCAAGTGAGTATAGGATGCTTGCAGTCTATTCTTAATTCTCCTTGATAGTTGTATCTTGTTTTGTCTCCACCTTTTCATTCCTAAACTACCACTGTATTCTCAGATTCACTTTTAATATAGTCTTCCACTTTCATCATCACTTTTCTGGTTTTGCATGTGATTTTGTAACTTTTTCTATCTCCTCTTCTTCCTCTGTGTTAAAATCACCTAAGGATCTCTTTAACTCCTCTCCCTATACAGCTTTCCATAAGACCTTGCATACCCTTGCGTACCAGTTTTTGAGTTTATTAAAACCTGCATCCCTTGTGGTAGTTACCAGTATGTCAGATTCTCCCTATTGCCTTCCAAAGAGCTGATTAAGTTTCTTATTTGTTATCTAAACTTCTGTCATCATTCTCTCAACCAGCTCTTCTGTACTGGTGGGGTTCATATCTAAATCTCTACCTCTCCCTTTTAGATGTTTTCTCCCTCATTTCTAGCAAAACTGTTACCAGTTAATTCCAAGTTTTGGGGGTTTCTGTTCTCTTTATAGTGCTGAGTACTGAGCAATACTGCAGCAGATACATTTATCTACACTGGGGAGTATCAGTAAGGGTGTCTCAAAGCATTATTCTCCAAATAACCAATTTCGACCTTTGTGGGCAATGAACAAAATGCATGGCTTTCCTATGTACTTTTTATTGACTTTTTCCCCGACCTGAGTAACACTTGATGCTGTGGTGCACTGTGCCAGCTTTGACAGCACTATGTTCTTGAAATGAGCTTTATTTTCCATGTTTTCAGGGAAGTGGGCCCTGGGAAGCATGTAAGCAACCTACATTTTTGGCACATGCTAGCTTCTGAATAAGTTGATTTTAGTATTTACAGACGCAGCATAGCTGATTTGGGGCTGTTTTGTTTTATACCAGGCAAGTTTTCCGAAGCTTGTACATTGTAACTTACTTTGAGTTGTAATGCATCTGGAACTACTTTCAGTAACACTACTGATGATGTGTATTATATACAATGGTCATACCTCAGTTTTATATTTTGGCAGCAGAAAATGAATGTGCTTCTCATAAGTAGAAGATGATCTTTTATCTTCGGCATCTGACGTAGCTTATAAGAGATTTCCTGGTATGTTGAAGTGCTACCAAACTGCAAAAGGGGAAGAGGTTAGAAGTCAGAAAAATGTGGTATCTTCAGACTGGGAGAATGTAGGCTTTTAAATTGCAGTTGAAGAATAGCTGGAGATCAGGAGCTCTCCACAGAAGCTCTAGCATATGTGATACCCATGCATGGAAGATGGCTCTCTGCAAAGTACAGAGGATGAGGTGATGGGGAATAAATAGTTTCAGCACAGCATCATATAAACTTACTGTGTCTAGTGCTAGTCTCTTAGAAGCAAGGTCAGCCACATGTAAAAGGGACACTGGGTAGTGGAGTGCCTTGTTATGGAACTGGAATTGCAGGACTGTGTGATGTGTGGGACCAGCAGACTTAGCTCAGCCTCTGTGGTGGCCCTGACAGGTGCCCATGTGGTTCTGTATGTGTTTTTGTGCCAGATACCCCGGTGCTCCAGCTTCCTGCAAGTACGGCACTGAACTTACTGCATCTGGCATCACAGCAACATGCTCTCTCTGCTCAGAGCTGTGCCTGAGTGGAAAAAACAACAGTAACTTAAAGCCCTGTGGGGGCTTTAACTGCTTGCATTTAAAAACAGATCATCTGTCTTATATCAGTTGTCACCAGGGTATTAGCCTGTCATTAGCAATAAAGGAGAAGTTAGGTTTATGTGGCTTCAATAAATGGTAAATTCTGTTTTGTAAAGTCAGTCTTCTGTGTTTTACCTCTGCTGTAGCATAAAAATCTGAAGAGGTAGTAGCACTGACCTTAATGACAGAACTTTTTTTTTTTTTTTTTTTTAATGTGAACTATCTGGCAAATACAATGCTTGTGAACAGTAGCTTTCCAGGTAAATAGATTTTATAAATCAACAAATAAGAGTAAGATAACCTGGTATAGAGCTGTAGTGTGCTCTTCAAGTTATGAGTTAATTTTGTCTTACTCCTGTGTTTAGATTCCATCTTTATGAAATTAATATTGACATAACCTTCTTGAAATTGCAGTTTCACCTCTACAGTGTGTATGTAATATTAAAAAGGTGTACAGAGCTCATATACTAGCTATTACTTGAAGTAGTAGTGCTCAGACAATATTGAGAAACCACTAGGTAAAACTTGACGAGCCATACTGTATTCTCAGTCAGGTCTTAGTAACTTCAAGAGACTTTATTTTTCTCAGGACAGCAGTTCCTGAATTAGAGGTTACAACCGCAGACAGAGTTATGACATTTAGAAGAGAGGTCACAAATTCAACAGACTTTCAGATACAGCAAGAAAGATACTGTATTGGGTTAGTGGCAAAAAGATTTGAGGATTGCAGAGTTGCAAAACAAACAAACAAACAAAATGTAAGTAAAAGGCTTCTGTATAATGCATTAAGTTCCAATTCTTTAACAAGTGTTTCAAATACAGAAACAATCTGCTCTTTTTTTTGGTTGGTTTTTTTTTTTAAGGACAGTGAAGCTGATCTTCTTCAACAAAACAGAAGATGACATACTTTGGAGAAACCAACTGGAGCAATTAGCTCTTAAAGAGGAAAGGTATTTAAAAATCTTGCTGAGAACTACTTGCACAATCCCAACGTATAGAAGAACAAGTCTTGGGGCTTAGACTAACTGTACAACCTTAGCACAAAGACAGATCCCAATTCTGGAAACTCTTAGCTAAGAATTTAATGAGACTAGGAAGTGGAAGGAGTTGTGCTTGTATCAGTCACAGATGCATAGCAGCAGGCTATGTCATTGTGTTCTGTAGGTCCCATAGGAAGCCAGGGATTTGATATGACAGTGTTTAATAATAGATGTTTATTAGAGACAATATGTTAGATCATTAAAAGTGAGAAGCTTTTTGAAGGTGAAGAAAATTAGCCTTAGCAATCAAAAATACAGATATGCAAAAAGAAGCACCGAAGTGGTAGACAAGGATAGTGTACCCTTGGAGCAACATTCTGAATTTTACAGAGGAGTCTTGAAAAGCCTCTTTGGTGTCACTTAGTTGAGAAAATGACTATCTAGAAGTTCAATGTTTATCTAGAAATTTAAAGTTTAAATTAGGCCCGTTACTTCCATTTTTACTTACTAAGTGTTGCATTTTTTTTCCTCAGTTACAATGTAATTATGGATTAAAATGCACTAGTGCATATGTAATGTTATCTTAGTTTAGCAGGCAGTAGTTCTGTCAGGAGACATAGTAATATTAGGTTGCCTTTTAATTTCAGTACCCTTGTTTTTATCACTAGATAAATAGTCACTGCCTAGGTTTTATGTGATAGAAGTATTTTTTGTTTATGCTTACTTAATTCTTAGTTGAAATTGTATGAAAAAGTTAACTTCACTTGTTCCTTCACAACATTGAAGTGAAAAATCAGTATTATTTCATAACCTGGTGGTGTCTGGCACATTCAAAGCTTCATAGTCTAGACATTGTGCAAATTTACAGTAAAACCCCTTTCTCTAGGAGCCCCAGATAACACAAGTGTTTTTTACTTGTTTTTTACTGAATAACTGTGCTGTTAGTGGGGTTTTAAAATCAGGTATAGTGTTTTCTCATTAATGAAATTGTACTGACATTTTCACAAGTTTGGCTAAGCATTCTTATTTCACTACTTGTGTATTGAGCTACACCAACATTTGTATAAGTGAATAACAGAACAATAAAATCTGTGTTTTACTATCTTAATTGCTACCAGCTGTTTTTCTTTGTAAGGTGAAATATACAGCTAAAATTTTTAAGATTGAAACATCAGGTTAAATAATTAAATGCACAGTACTGGAGGTGATTTGATTGACTTGATTGGTAGGAACCACTAAATGTCTGTGAGATCTGATACTGTGCCAGTGGGAGCTGAGCAGAACAAGAAAGTAATCATAGGACACAAAATCTATATTTTGTGTGGCAGATTTCTAACCAGAGGCAATATTTCTGAAATAATTCTTCTGCTTACCAGGTTTGAGGTTCAATTCATTCTTTCACAACCAACAAAGGACTGGGTGGGTAAACAGGGGAAGATTTCTTCATCTCTTCTCTCTGAGGTTGTGAAAAGAAGCAGAAGAGACTCCAAAGTGCTTATCTGCATCTGTGGTCCAACACCTTTTACAGAACAAGGAGTACAGTGAGTATTTTAAATGATGAACTAGCGAATGAGGAATTTTTAAAAATTTGTTCACCTAACTAGCTATAGTATTTCTGACTTGGTAGTCTTTCAAAAATGGCCTTCCATTTTCTGCTTTGAAAGAAAAGGTTTTAAGTGTGTGTGTTTTGTTTTGTTTTTTTAAATGAATTTTAAAAAAACATCCTGGCATCATGCTTTAGGAATATATTTAGTGTGTAGATAAGTAAATATCAGCAATATGTAAATTTCGTGAGCTGTAGTAAGTGGTCCAAAACTTTCTAAGAGCATCTCTTTAACAGTGACGTGTTTTCCCCAAGGTTTTAAATGCTGCTTTTAATTTGACATTCATAGAAGAGTCGTTATAATAAGAAATGAGCTTTCTGTGTCGGTGTTAGCTTGACAAATTAAATTATTAAAAGAAAATTCAAAGCACTTCTCTCAGTTTTTATTAATGCATTTATTCATGTCTGTACCTAATACTTGCCTTATTTTATCTGCCATATATTTAAAGATAAAAGGTCCTCTAACTTTTTTTTGCCCAGCTTCAAAATATTGAACCAATATGGACATTGCTTGCATTTCTGCAGCCCTACTGAAGTCGTGGAGGTGGAATTGGCCAATAATTATACTACCTTTTGAGAAATCCGAGGTGCTTTAAGTAGATACCTGTGTTTAGTTTTAGAAATTCTTATACTATCCTATAAGGTAATGTAGTACATATGAGCTCCCAGGCATGAAAAGTTTTCTAAATGTATTTGCAAAGGTAAACTTCATTGAGTATGTCTGAATAAAAACAAGATAGTGGTGCTGAAATTATGCTTTTGCTGTGTCTGTGGTGGGTTTTGAGTTCCAAGTATTAATACTACAAATTTGATTTTTTTTTGTACTTTCAGATATCTGAAGGATCTTGGATACTCCCCGGAAGAGATACACACTTTTACTGCATAAACCCATATGAGGATATCAATGGTTGTTTGTATAATTCAATCTTATTTATTTACCTTCATGAATTTAATTGAGACACACACAATTTTGTAAGACTTGAACTTTCACTCTTGGTACCAAACTGTTTCTTGGAAGAAATATATCTTTGAAAAAATTTTATACTGTGTTTTATCTTGGTTTTTGTAAATATTTTTGCTAATTCAGGGTATTAATTTATTGTAGAGGCAAGCAAAAATGTATAGTATACATTATGTAAGATATTTCATGTTGGTTCATGAGAATTCTTAAATTTATGACAAGCACTGATTTAAGTTTTGACTTGAGAAGCTTATTATTTCTTACTGTAAAAAGTCTTAAGAGCGATACTGTCTGAAATTAAATATTGCACTGTAACTCAGGTAACCGATCATTGAAAAATGTTCTTTTTTCATCTGAAATCTCTGTTTGATTTGCAAGTGATCCAGATACATTTTTGGCTTTGTAAACAAAGAATAGAAGTACCTTTGGTAAAACATAAAAAATTTACATCAAATAATAAAATTTAATAATTTTACATTAATTTATGAATTTTTGTAAATTTTTTTGTATTTTCAGTTTATAGTGTCATACTGGAAGGTTTGCACAAACTTAGGACACCAGCTGAGAACTCAGAACAGAGGCACAGAGTCTTGTTCTGCCACAAAACTTTCTGTGTGACCTTGCTGGTACCAGGCATCCCTTGTCATGAGCCATTCTGAGGGTAAAAGCATGACAGCTTACAGCCTGCTGATACCAGGGTAAGGACCATAGGAGAGCCTAAAAATATTTGACAGGTTGCAGTAGTATTAAATGAGGTTATTTGAATCAGTGGGTTTTTTTACTCCATTACTAAAAGTATGTTATCGTGAGGTGGTAATCTGCTGTCTAACCGTTTGGAAAAAAAAAAGCAGCAAAGCAGCTACCCCCCTTCTAGATGTTGTCAGTAATATCTGTAGGTATTGTTTCGTCTGACACCTAGTACTGTTTGCATCCTCCTGTTGTGTTGAATGGATATTTCTTCCTCCTAAGAAGCCAGACTTGCAGTTGTGGCATTAATACTTCAGCATTCATGAAAAATGTTTTAATAATACCCTTTAAAAAGGTTAAATTGCTATCATGAAAAATGTTTTAATAATACCCTTTAAAAAGGTTAAATTGCTATCTGACAGTGACTGGCTATGCTAAACTGAGCTGTCATCTCTTCAGTGCCCTCTCATTTATTAGACTTGAAGTTAGAAAAGAATCTGGTTGTCAGTCATTGCCTGTAGGTCACAAGTTATTTCAGAAGAGACAGTGGTAGTGTCATCATTTTGCCATGTAGAAGGATCTAAATGTTTTCAGTTATAATTTTGCAATGCAGTATTTGTGGAGATTTGTACTACAAAGCTCTGAACAAGTTTCTTTTCCGCTGAGCAGAAACACCAGTGCTACACTGGAAAAATAAAGCACTCATTGAATTTTATAATTTTTTCTGTCACAAACGCAAGATTACTGTGGTGACTTAAAAAATTACATTTTGGTGTTGACGACTAAACCTTACATCTTCCATAGGATAATGAGGAATTTCTCACGTTCCTGTCGACCAAGAGCTGATGGGTTGGTCTTCTGTTTAAAAGAATTTCATTAATTGCCTCTCTCTCAGGCTTTTTGGTTTTAACAGGTTACTTTGCCAATATCCTGCCCTTTGTGCTTTGATTGTCCTTATCTGCCTTTATCAGGAAGGACAAAAGAAAGTGTTTTGGATAAGTAGCTGTTGTGACACAGTACATCAATGTCTTTATCCTTTGCTTTAGGATGTAGGCCATATTTCTCAATAGATGACGACTTCTTGAAGGCTTTGTGCAGTCCAGGTGGCAATCATGGATATGGAACTACTTCAGAGTAGGTCTAGAAGCTTGTGTAGTTAGTGTGCATCACCTTTGGTTTCTGAAAGTTCGTTTCCAGTCCGGTTACTAGTGGTAACTGTTCTTTACAGTTGCAGCTTGAAGGAAGTTGTGCTCTTGGAGGCTTTAGGACTGTCATCCTGAAGCAAGGAAGACCCTGACGCAATTTGTTATGTTTGGTGTTATAAGGCATGTGGATTTTAAATACTTTAAATATGAAGCAAGGAAAGAAACCAAATTGGTAGCTGACCTTGCAAGTCCCACAAGACACTTAGTGCAGAGGTGTTCTGCTGTGGTGGTTCTTCCAGGTCAGATCTTCATGGGGTTGGAGTAGACTTCATGGATCTTGGGCTGTGTCTGTCCACAGGGAAAAGAGAAGTCTATTTACAAAGCTTGTTGAAACTGTATTTTTCCTGGAAATCTGGCCTAGTAAAGGGGAGAGGCTGGAGATTCCTGCACAAGATCATCCATGAATCAACATGAAGTTACCATTTCGACCAGTGCACTGTGGGGATCCCATTGCACTGGGGAAGAGAAAAAGGCTGATGATCCTGAGGTGCGACATGTTGAGCATTAAGTAGTGAGCGAGTGTTTCTGCTTTCTTTTGGGATGATTGAATAGGATTGTCAAATTGTTTTAAGTAATACAGAACTAGTATTCTTATGCAGAGCTTCATACTTTGGTATTTTGACTGTCACAAATTATAATCAATTAGTGTGGGTAACAATTTGTTCTCTTTTTTTTTTAAGTTTTTTTTTTTTTAATGTATCTGCACTACAATTGTGTTGTGGTGGCATCTAGTTCTCAGCAAGTACCTAAGGTTATCTTGCAGCTTCTGGTGGCTATATTCTATGTTTTTTTGTTACAGAGGAAAAGATCAATACTTTCTGAAAGTTAAAAAAACCCCATACATACATCCAAAATTTGTAACTGATTTTTTCCTAGCTAGATTGTCAGCCTATGTTGTAAATTTTTAAGAATTTGCACATCTCTGGGAATGCAACATGTTAATTTCAAAAAAAAGGGGTTTCTTTTTTGTCCTGCACTGGTACAACTTTCAGTTCTTTAGCATTAGTTTAGTGGCTTGCCTTGTTGAAATTGAATGGATCTTCCCATAAGCTTTCAGTTGGTTAAAATTACTTTTACAGTAAATTTGTGCTCAGCAAAATGATACAATACCCATCTTCTGTTGAAGCTGGCCTGCAGATTCAGAGTTACTGGATGGGAAGAGGAGAGAGGGAATAGGCTCTCGTGCTTTGCAGAGATTGATGAGAAGAGAGCTATGTTTTCCTAGGAAATAAGACTAAAAGTGGAAGATGACATCAGAAGAATATTCTCCTATTACATGGTTAATGTCAGATAAACAGTCTCGAATTGATGCTCTGTGCCATCTCTGGATGGTATTTCACCAAGAAACAAACCCTTCTTAGTTTTCCAAAAGGAAATTTGAAACATTTATCAGAAGGCACTGGCTTAATTACTGTGTTGCCAGGGTCAAACAGGGAACTTTTATGGAAAATCCTTTATGGGGGAAAAAGGGACATTGCAGTCTCCCAGCTCTTTGGAACATATTCTTGGATAAACTCTTCATGTAATTTGTTACGTTTAGAGCTGTAGATACATATTTTGTGTAATTAAAACAGTAGCTTGAACGAGTAAGTACTTGAGTACAGAATATTAGTAATAAGTCTGCCAAGAGACTATTCATAAAATATTTAAGTTTGTCCACATGAGAAACATGGAAAATACAATAGTTAATATTGTATTTAGTTGTTGAAGATATACAGATTGAAATCCCAAGTATACAATGTAATCCATTACTAAGACTGTTTTGTAGCTAGCTGCTGCATGCTGCTGATAATGAAAAGGGATGATAAATGGTAACAATTATTTGCCAGCTGTATTTTTAAAAACTCAGCTTCTTGGCTTTTGTTGCCTCTAGTAAATGTGAGGAAGACAACTGCTTATAGGAAAACTCAATTTGCAGAGCTATCAGTTCTAGTTCTGGAATACTTACATATTCAAAGACTGATTACAACAAGGTCAGAGGAGCCAATGTGGAGCAGCATAGGTGATCAGTTCTCTGCTGCTGCTCAAGGAGACGTTTGTATGTTCATTAAGAGAGAATTGTTTACAGAAAAGCATCCTTAATAAAACCACCCAGTAAATATAAGGAATTTGAAGAATGCAATCATTCAGTAGGTCTTCATTAATTAAAACAAAACCATTCTAATGTTTTGTTTACACAGTGTTTATTATTTCACTGCATCAGTTGTTCTGACTCTTCTGGAGGAGGTTCATTACATAGTAAGGTGGAAAAATTTGCTCTATTGTCTCCTCCCATGTATTTTTTTTTCCTGAGCAAAGTTGATTTTTGGGAGAAGCCACAGAAAGATCCATGTAGGTGTATCTTTTATCATACTAGCCCTTACCTGCTTTTCTAGAAAAATTCCTGCATTACAAAACTGCAACACCCACCTTATTTTAAAAGATTGTCATAAATTTTATGTGTCAGTGACCTTTTAACATCAGTGGCTCACACTACATGCAGTTGAAATACACAGTTTCTTCTCTCAGAAGAAGGTATATTATCAATTGTCCTGGTTTCGGCTGGGAGAGAGTTAATTTTCTTCCTAGTAGCTGGCATAGTGCTGTGTTTTGGATTTAGTAGGAGAAGAATGCTGATAACACACTGATGTTTTTAGTTGTTGCTGAGTACTGCTTATGCTAGTCAAGGACTTTTCAGCTTCCCGTGCTCTGCCAGGTGCACAAGAAACTGGGAGGGGGCACAGCCAGAATAGTTGATCCAAACTGACCAAAGGGCTATTCCATACCATGTGACGTCATGCTCAGTATATAAACTGGGGGGGGTTGGCCGGGGAGCAGCGATCGCTGCTTGGGAACTGTCTGGGTATCGGTCGTCGGGTGGTGAGCAATTGCATTGTGCATCACTTGCTTTGTATATTATTATTACTATTATTATTATGTTGTTATTATTTTACTTTATTTTATTTCAATTCCTAAACTGTTCTTATCTCAACCCAGGAGTGTTTCTCACTCTTACTCCTCTGATTCTCTCCCCCATCCCATCGGGGTAGGGGGAGTGAGCAAACGGCTGCATGGTGCTTAGTTGCTGGCTGGGGCTAAACCACGACATCAATGTATTGGAAATACATCTTCTGCCTTTTATATCAGACTGCTGCATCCTGATTTTGCAGTTTTAAAAACCAACCAACCAAAACCAAACTAAACCATAAACCCACCACACAGATTTGTGGAAGTTACACCCACAAAATCTGCACATTAAATCACAATTTTAATGGGAATTTTCAGAAACTATTTTTTATGAACTCACTATCTCATAAAATGCCGCTGTAGAAGACTGACACATTTCCCCCCTCTCATTCTTCTCTTGCAGATAGGTCTGTAACGTTGGCTCTTTGAGCTGCAGGGTTTGGATAAAGGAGAATAGTCCCCAAATGTTTTGATTCTACCTACAGTCTTCATTGCTCTGACCTTGTCAAGCATGATATCCCTATGGTAATCCTTTCTAGACCACTTCAGGAGGACCTCTTTAAGCATGGCATTCTACATTTCCAATTGGGAAAATACCTATTTAAGCATGTTTTTGCAAAAATTGACATCCAGATCA